AATAGAGCAGATCAGCAGAAGATCCTGTATGTCTGGATGTGTCAGGTAAGTTGACTAATTCTCAGCGTTTTTACTTTTATGTTGACTTCAATGACTTTTCAACTTCGTGAACTGAAACACACTATTACATTTCAAAACTCTTATGTGTTTTAAACATTTAAATGCATAACTAACATTTTTTATTTACTAAAAAGGTAAACTAGAATAACTGCGAATATATGCAAAACATGTTTTAGTTCAAATGTATTTAGTAAACAATGACTGAAACAATAACAACATTTGACTTCTCTACAGAAAACAATGTAACAATTGCATGTAGTTTTTCTTCTGTTGTAAATTTTTACTTTCTCTACTTTTAAAAGGTGCTGCTTTTAATAGAATTCAAAGGCACAATGGATAATAAAACAATGCAATCTTCATGCAACCTGACCAGTCCGGATTACAACCAAACCAACTGCACGTCTCCAGCGTGGATGCTCTACCCTGACTTCTACATCTGGCTACCGGTTATTTACTCAATCATTTGCGCTGTGGGACTCACGGGCAACACCGCTATTATTTACGTGATTTTGAAGGCGCCTAAAATGAAAACTGTCACCAACTTATTCATTTTGAATTTGGCCATCGCCGACGACCTTTTCACGTTGGTGTTGCCCATCAACATAGCCGAGCACCTGTTAAACTACTGGCCGTTTGGAGAGATTTTATGCAAAGTGATTCTGTCCATAGACCACTACAACATCTTCTCCAGCATCTTCTTCTTGACTGTGATGAGTGTGGACCGCTATCTGGTCGTGGTGTCCACGTTGCGCTCCAAACGGATGCCCCACCGGACCTACAGGTTAGCCAAAACGGTCAGCCTGAGCGTTTGGGCTCTGGTCATTCTCATCGTGATGCCCTTCACCGTTTTCGCCGGTGTCCATGTGAGTCCCGACGACGCGGAGAGCCGGAAGAGCTGCGTTTTGAGTTTCCCAAGTCCTGAGAGTTTTTGGTTCAAAGCCAGTCGGAGCTACACGCTGGTCCTCGGTTTTGTCATCCCAGTTTCAACCATATGCATCCTCTATAGCGTGATGCTCTACAAGCTGAGACGCACGCGTCTCAACTCAAATGGTAAGGCTCTGGACAAAGCCAAGAAACGAGTCACAATGATGGTCTTCGTCGTGCTTGCCGTTTGCTTGTTTTGTTGGACACCCTTCCACCTGAGTACGGTGGTCGCCCTCACCTCAGACTTGCCCACCACTCCTCTGGTTATAGGTATTTCTTATTTTATCACGGGACTGAGTTATGCCAACTCGTGTCTCAATCCGTTCCTTTACGCGTTCTTAGACGATAGTTTCAGGAAGGCGTTTAAGAAAATGCTGGAGTGCTGAACCGTTTTTGCACCCTCACAAAACAACCAATACGGTTCAAGTTCCCATTCAGCAACATCAAATCATTAAAGTGTTGTTTTTAACTCAAAAGTCAAAACGCAATTTAAAGTCACTTTAAAACAATAAACTTGACTCATCAAGTAGCTCATTTTCTGCACTGTAAAACGTTTTCATCATTGTCTAGTTTCAACATAATTTCCTTCATCAGTGTTTAAATTTGAAGAGGTGCAGAAGAGTGAATGAATGTATCATTGTTGGGTGTGACTTTAGTACCATTTTGATTTTAGTACAATTAAACTTTTTTTTAATTTGTTTTCATTAACACTCATTCGTTAACCATTTTATAAATCTTGGGTAACACTTTATTTTAAGGTGTCCTTGTTACACTTTACATGTACTTACAATTATAATAACAATAAATTATGCATAATTACATGCAAGTAGCCTATAACCCAAACCCTAATCCTAACCATATAGTAATTACACATCACTATACTTAAATGTATAATTACACTGTAACAAGGACACCTTGAAATAAAGTGAAACCAAATCTTGTTTTAAAGTGTAAATAATTATTTATGTACAATACATGAATACTAATATATATGAATATATTTATCTCTTACACTATGTGGCTTGGGAGTGCGTTGCATAGCAGCTTAAAAGCTTGAAAGTGAAACTCTCTCGCCTCCTGTGGCATAAAATGCTGCTGCTTGTGTTGTGTTCAATGTTGATAATTAATAAATGTGCATGAAGTGTGCACTGTTCCGCAGGCAACGTTTATTTTTTCCCTAAGTAGCATATGTTTTTCGCGTGAATGAAGTTGAAATGAAAATGCTTCAAACTGAATGTAAGAAAATAATTAGGTATTTATGCCCTTCCCCTTAAATTAACAAGTGGACCAGTGACGGAACAGATCATTATAAACTGCTGTTCCGTAATACCTAATACCACCAGAAGAGGGCAGGATGAAATCATGTTGTAATTTTAAACTTTTTCATGACTTTAACATATTCTTTTAATCAGAAAGATACTCGTGTAATTTTAAAAGCTCTACAAATATATACTAGCAATATTTTATTTTATGGTAAATATATATATATAGCCTATATACCAAGGCCATTATACTGATGTCAGTGTACATTCGCTAAAAAATATATATATAAGTATAAATCTAAAGACTGTTAACTTTAGTTAACTATTTAACTAATGTAAATGTCGCAGCCATAATTTTTTTTTAAATCAATTAATAAACATTAAAATAATAAAAATAAAATCTGCATTGCCGCTGACGGGATTAACAACTAAGCTAGATGTTAATTGATCACAATCAGGTTAATTACAGACCAGTAGCATAAAAAAAGATTTAAAACTAATTTCAGTGATCTTAAAGATACTTGTGTGAAATAGCCATTCTTTCTCTGACAGATAGGGTGCCTTAATGGGCATGATATGCTGATTAAGTTTAATCATTACTTCTAATTTGAGTTATTGTGTGATACAATTTCTCTCTGTTCTCCTCTTCTTAAATCTGTAATGATTGCTACATTCCATGCGGAACTCTTAAGAACATAGTTTTATTGAGCATTCAGGTCACTGGCATTGTGAATTTCATTATCTCAGACTTTCTAAGTGTTTCTATAAGCTATTACTCCTCATTGAATTGCACTGGAGGGCATTTAATTGTGATGTAATGGTGATTCTCATACACAGGGGTAATTTTCTGTTTGTCTAATCGTATACAGAAAATCTCTTTTGGGAGAGAAAGAAATTTATCCAGCATGCCGCACATGCTTTGAGGCACATACGCATATATATATATATATATATATATACATGGCTTGGTGAGGAAGAGCATTTCAAATGGACAATCCACACTGTCCATTTCACATTACTTGTTTTTATACCTTTTGTTTCTCCCCCACCTGTCTCCACATTGTCTCTTGCCTGTCACCGCTATCATCTCCGTTTCCTCTCCAGCTCATTGGCTCATTTTCTCCCTGGCACCGCTCCTAGTTTTCCAACTTCTGCTTTTCAGAGCTGCTGTGTTGTGAGTGCAGGTCGAAAATTGATTGCCTCACATTTCAGTGAGTGTTCTCCACCGGGATACAAAATATCCCCTCATTTATCTCCACCACAAACCGCAGTAGTGCTAGCTGTGTGTGCTGCCTTATAAACACTCTGTAGCCCACAGCACAACATCACTATAAATATTCTCCAGCTTCAGTTCTCTCTCTCTCGATCTCTCTCTCTCTCTGTCATACTGCATCACCAACAGCCATGAGTAAAGGCTTTCACTGTAAATAAGATGGCACTGGCAAAGGCATTGTAAATTTTCCCCTCAAGGTTAAATGTGAGTATTTTATCTAGCTCTGTGCGTTATAGGCTACTGAGCAGCATGTAGGGTAAGGAAAGCATTTTAAAGTGTAAATATCATGCATTGTGATTTCGAAAGCATTATGATTTTCGAATCCTCATTATATTTCTGTGCATTTTAATTGTTTAAATAACTAGTCTCATCGGAAGACACATGGTTAGCCTAATGGCCTTTAACTGCATTATGGTCCCCATAATTTTCATTAGAATATCTCTGTCTCAGTCAGTGCTGCATCCAATCTATATTTCAACAATATTATCCACCTATTGTTTTTGTTCAGAATTCATTGTTCTGGAACAGTCATACGATATATTTTACTTGTGATCTGGAGGGCAGCATGGTGAATTCAACTGCAAAAAAAAAAAAGGTTGCAGCTTCAAATCTTGTGCAATGCCCTTCAGCAGAGGGCATTTTCCTCTGTATAAAGCAATAAACACTGTTCGTAAATGTTCCTTTAGCCAGGATTATTAACCTTTAGCTTTCATTGTTATGCAGAAGACATACAGCTCTATATTTCTTCTAGACCAGATGAAATTTGATGGTTTTCCAAGATGGCGGATTACATCAAGGGCATTAAAGACTACATGTCAAGTCATTTTCTTTTGATACATTAATATGGGAATTTTCTACCTATTCCAGACACTGAAAAGTTAGGTCATCCTTTCATAGCTTCAAGACTCAATTATAGTAATGCACTTTTGGTTGGATACCTCAGTGTTTCCGGGCTAAAGCTTATTTAAAACACTGCAGACATAACTGTCCAATATTGACATTGCTGTTTTAAATTTAAAATAAATTTCTTCTTTGCTCCTACATCATATATTGAGTGGTAATTTACATATTTTTTTTAATTGTTATTATTATTAGTATTTATAATTTTCAAATTTCTATTTTATTCTTTACCTTTTTATAAAAAAAAAAAAAAGATTGTGAATACTGTTAAGACAAAAATATATAAATCAAATATTTATGGCATTAAATTTGCTTGTTTTTCACCCAAGGACCAAGATTTCTTTTGTACTTGGCTAGGTTATGTTCATGTTTGTTCCACCAGAGATATTCAACAAGGAATGAAAAGTGACACACACACGCGAACACACACACACACACACACACATTTACGCGCACGCGCAATGTTTGATTACTGTAACGATGTGCGCGAAGTGAACGTCGGACTCTACGGTGAGGAGAGTCGTCTCATGGACATGAAATCTTAAGCGTTTTTCTTGGTTTAAGATGGACCCATCTCTCTTCAGTTTCACCGGAGAGCGTCACATACTTCAAGCTTGATCTGCACTTTAATGATGTAAGTACTTCACAATACTACTCTCTCAGAGAGGATATAACGATATTAAAGGGTGTAGGCGTCCTTTAAACCCTATTCGCGTCTTCTGTTCACTTGCTTGTTGTGAGACATACGTAAGTTTTTGTTCGTTTCTTATCTTCTCCTCAACAGCTGTGGGTGCTTTCTTCACGATGGAGTTGCTCGAGTTGTCCGACGTCCAACAGATGTTCAACGACTCCCGTTTTCAGGGGAATTTGAGTGAGCTTGATGATGTACTCGAGCCTTTACCTAAGGGCGCAAAGATCACTGTCGTTGTGGTCTACTTGATAGTGTGCGTGGTGGGGCTCGTGGGGAACTGCCTGGTCATGTATGTAATTATCAGGTGAGAATAAGTGTTCGGGGTCATCATTATAAGTGTGTGTGTGTGTGTGTGTGCTAGAGGAAGAGCTTAATATAGAGAGCTCAGTATAGAGGTGGACAACCAGTTCAATGCATGTGAGTTGTGTATGGTTACAAAGTTAACCCTGTAACCTGACATATAAAATAATGGAACATATGTGTCATATTTGATACATAAGACTTCTATAGCCCATATAGTATAATACACCAAAAAAACACCTACATTTTATTTAGACACCCAAACATTTTCAGCATTGCTGTTGTTGTTATTTATATGGCCTAATAGTAAGATAAAATTATTATCGCTTGTAATGTAAATCAGATTTTATATAGCAGGCTACCTACATAAATGCATATAAATGTCAGTTGTTATTTTATCTTCCAATAATGTCTTGGCAAGATTACATTTAAATGCTTGTGTTTATGATCAAAGCTCTGTCGTTTTAATTGTGAGAGGCAAAACGTGTAATACAATCTAATACAGTGATTATTGAGAGATGATTGAAAAGCTTGTTGTATTATTTTTGATACTTACATTTTAACATGATTTTCTAGTGATGTTTGGATAATCAAGTAAACCCAAGTTGCTTCAGTCCAGCAAATTCATCTTGACATTTTTTTTTAGGTTTACAAAAATCATTCAAGATTTCATAGCAAAAAAGACGTGTACCATGAAGTTGGAAATAGACCTTAGAATGACAATAAAAGCCTTTTACTTAGTAAAAAGAATGAACTATTAAACAGAGATCAGAAGGCATATAGAAGATTCTGCACAATAGGTTTTTCAGTAAAGGTGCGATCATGTTGATCATTAGAGGCCTTAGAAAATTAATTTATCAAATATGACACAGGCTTTGTAGGGTTAAAAAAGAGCATCGTTATACAGTATGTTCATCTTGCTGCAACATTGCTTCATCATCATGTTTTTATTAACTGGGGTCATTATTTGAAATGCTTCTTATGATTTACATTTTCAACAAGAGCAGAACATTTCCCTAATGTTAATATATGGTTCCTATTTGGTTATTTTCTGGGAATGTTCATTGGGTTTATTGTATGTTGCATAGTTCTCAGCTGGTTTTGTTTCAAAAACAAACAAAACTAAAATGCACTTAAAACAAACAATGTATAAATATTTTAATGTGTGTCCTGCAACCTATCCATGTTGACATTTGCCTAATTTAAAATCTGAAATACAAAACAGTTTAATTGGGCGCAACAAAAAAGTGTTTTCTCCTAAATTGTTTTCTTTTGATTCCTATTTCTTGTGATAGTTGAACTACGCATGATTACATGGCTATGTTATCGCCAGAACAGACCTGCAATTCATTTTTGGGTTGCTAACCACCAGTTAGAGCTCTTGACATGTTTTTGCCCTGTAGTTGAAACTGTACATTAACACAGTGAAATATTAGCTTGAAGCGACACCATTTTCTCTTTTCTGGCGCTAACTAATCCATCGTAGCACTTGTTCTGCCAGCATCGTGTCACAAGCCTGCTTGTTCATTACATTGCTAAATAAACATTTGGTTCTTGTCCAAACCTCCATGTCGTGAAACAGCTGTAGACGGGGGCCAAGACACAGCTTTTCGATCAGCACAGCAAGAATTCGTATTAGCAGAATACACAATTAGTTTTATAATCATTAAACATTGTTTCAGCCATTCCTGAGGTCAAATTCAGAGAAAGAGGAATTCATGTAGGTTTGATTGTGAAGAGACAATGCAAAATGTCCCTCTGATTTACCAACTTGCACTCTTCGCCTGGTCGTTCGCTTTAACATGACAAGCATGGCCATGTAGTAATTTTGTCTCGCCCTCTCATGCTTGTATTTTGTTGAAGGTATAATTATGAAGGAATTCCATGCTGATCTAATGTACAAGGAAAACTGCCTCATAATTAGGAGTCAGAAAATAGATTTGCTCCATCACCTCATGTTTTTAAGGGAAAACATCCTTAAAGGTAGTTGTACATACTTGTGGTTTGTGTATACAGGGAAAGGCAATGAGTCTTTGTCTTTAGTGTTATAATGTGTGTGTTCATGCATTCACTTACATGGTCATTACTCAGACGTTCTGATATATAGTCCTATGGGCCTATTTTAAAACCTGTTGCTAAGCTGGTTACCAAGCACCACCTGCAATTTCTTTACCTTCGAAGATCACAGCCTGTCTCTGAGCTTCACTGAATTTGGAATGAAAAGTGTCAGTCTACCTCTTGAGGATTTTTAACAAGGTTTTCACAACATCACTGGCATAGTCTTTCTTTTATGTCCAGAAAGAGACAGACTATGCCTAAATTTGATCATATTTGAAGATAAGCATGGCTGCTTTATAATTCAGATTTAATATTCATCAAAGGTGTAGTTCACCCAAAAATTTAAATTTGCTGAAAATGTACTTGCCCGCTTGTCATTTGAGATGTAGATGAGTTTGTTTCTTCATCAGAACAGGTTTGAGGAATCTGTCCCTTGTTGACCAGACAAGATGAATTTTCCCCAGAAAAAAAAAAAAGATTAGAGGACTTCTATTTTAGTTAGAAGCAACGATTTAAGGATAAAAATGTCTTGATGGATGTAGCTTTTCACTTCACAAGACAATAATTAATAGACTGGAGTTGTGTGGATTACTTGTGGATTACTGTGATGTTTTTATCAGCTGTTTTAACTCTTTTTCTGACGGCACCCATTCACTGCAGAGGATCCATTGGTAAACAAGTGATGTAAAGTGATCTAAATTTCTCCAAATCTTTATCTTGGATGGCATAATTTTTAGGCGAACTATGGCTTTAACCCTAATCCTAATATACTGAAGATCCATTTGTAGTTATTGTCATTTGCTTTTTAAATGATGCTCTTGCTTGTCCTTGTCTTTGTCAATAGGTCATGTCATCTAGCAGGGCATTGCAAACAATGGCAGATGATCAATATATGATAATACTGTCATATATGATAATACTGTGTGTTTTGCATGCATGCATCTCCTCCAAGAATTACTAACACTATACAAACATACAAAGCTAAAACTATTTCCTATTAAATATAATGTGAAGTTGTGAACAGAAATTCACTTGAAATTTGGTTTCCGCAGAATGATTTTCTGATTATTTTTTAAATATTCTAAAATGTACTTCAAATATCAACCCCTTTATTTATAAATGCATAAATAGCATTCTTGTAGCACAAACAGTTGAGCATGACACTAACAATGCCAAGGACATGAGAGAAGTAATAATAATAATTATAAAAACAATATTGGATTTGCTTTGAGACCTATAAACACTAAGTTTTTAATTAATAATTTAAACTGGAGTGTGTAATTGTTTTTGTTAAAATACTTTATACTAGTGTATTATGCAATATTCATTCATATAAATTAATGTACATTAATAATTATATAAATTTAATGAAATGTGTTATTAAAAGTTATTTGAACAGTGATATTTGTACCTGCTTCAGGTACACAAAGATGAAAACGGCCACCAACATTTACATCTTTAACCTGGCCTTGGCTGATGCACTAGTGCTGGCGACTCTTCCTTTCCAAGGCACGGATGTCATCCTTGGTTTCTGGCCCTTCGGTCTGGCTCTGTGTAAAGCTGTGGTGGCCATTGACTATTACAACATGTTCACAAGTGTTTTCACCCTGACCATAATGAGTGTGGATCGCTACATAGCCGTCTGCCACCCTGTGCGCTCCCTGACAGTTCGCACCCCGCTCCGGGCCAAGCTAATCAACGTGGCTGTGTGGGTGCTGGCGTCAGCCGTAGGACTGCCTGTTATGATCATGGGTCAGGTGGAGGAGGAAAAGGATGTTTACGGTAGTCTCTTTTCTCATTATCCTATGTCAACCTGTCACTCCGAAGCATGTTTGTTCATTATGTCATGAAAATGTGAATCCGTCTTTGTCATTTTGATGTTGTCATGTTGATGTTCCATCGTTTACTTAGGCAGTTGTACCCAAAATGATTATATTTGTGGTTTTACTGTGTATTAAAGGTGCACTAATTCAGTTTTTGTTGCATTGATCAGCCTGCAAGGGGGATGCCAATTTTTGTTTGATATTTGTTGGATAATTTTTATATAGAAAAGTAAAACAAACGCGCACCTTTTTGAGGTTCAAGTTAAAGGAGGAAGCTTAATGAAGACAAATTATAACTGCACACTGTCTTAAAGCATGATTAATAATAAATCATGCTTATAAGAGATTTTTCTTCATGATAATTTGTATATAAAATAAAATCACACATTAAACAAAAAATTCAATATTAAATTAACATCAACCAAATTGGTATTTGAGTTCAAATATATGATTTTGTGTACATGAACAAAGATTACAGCAACAGGAAATACCAACATTGTAGAATAAAATAGCTTTTTTTCCTTTGAAACATACACTACAGTTCAAAAGTCTGGGGCCAGTAAAATAAAACACACACACTCACAATTGAATGTTTTATTCAGTAAGGATGCATTAAATTACTAAAGATTACTATTTCAAATAAAACTTTTTGTTGATCCAGAAAAAAATCAGTTTACACAAAAATATTAAGCAACACAACTAACAGTATATAAAACCACATAACAATACTCTTTTTACTGTATCTTTGATCAAATAAATGCAGCCTTGGTGAGCATAAGAGACCTATTTCAAAAACATTGTAAAACATCCTGTTCAGAATAACTTTTTAAGAAAAAAAACCCAAAAAACGTTTTTTTCTTTTTTTAAATGATTTGTGCACTATTCTCTCTTGTGGAAGATTTTGCTTTCCGCTCATGATTCATTGTAAATCATGGCACTACTTTAAATCAGCTTTACCAATTCATTCCCTGACTTTATTTCTGTGCAGGTGCCGAGTGCATACTGAACTTGCCTAAACCAAGAGAACACTGGTGGCCTGTGTTTGTGATTTGTGTGTTCCTCTTCTCTTTCTTGATTCCTGTGGTGATCATAAGTGTCTGCTACGGGTTGATGGTACGACGCCTGCGCAGTGTACGTGTCCTGTCCGGTTCTAGAGAGAAGGACCGGAATCTGAGGAGAATCACCTATATGGTACTGTCTGTGGTCGCTGCTTTTGTGTTGTGCTGGATGCCAGTGCAGGTCTTGGCTTTGATCCAGGCCTTGGGGCATGTGGATCTTGGGACCAGCCAGGCCTCGATGGCAGCCATGCATTTCTGCATTGCTCTGGGCTATGCTAACAGTTGCTTGAACCCTGTCCTCTATGCCTTCTTGGATGAAAACTTCAAGCGGTGTTTCCGTGAGTTCTGTATCCCGGCCAACTCCAGTTTGTTCCTAGAAGAGCAGCGCAAGAGGTCATTGAGGCAGGAGAGAGAATGTGCTGAGGAGGAAGAAAAAGAAGTGGTTATTGATGAAGGTGCCATTCCAGTGTGTGCAGAGTAGAGCTTTGCTAAGTGACCGTATTCTTGGATGGCATGAAACTTAACTAACAATTGAGTAAAGTTATGTAAACATTGCTGCTTTTGTTTAGCTGGCAGATTGTTTGTGATGATTCAGAATTAGAAGTATGGATATACAAGACCATTGTTTCACATGGGACAAAAGGGCTTTTTTTTCCTTTTAAAATCTTATAGTGTATAGTATACAATCTTCACATTGTTTATTGTAGTCCTTATATGATTACATGACTAATTTAATATTATAATATTTATATATTATATTATTAATAAATTATTCTAAATGATTATATTAATTCACCTGCATTTTTGTAAATGTACTCCTTTTGTTATAAAATAAGTATATTGGAATTGCATATGCAAAATATTTCTTAATTTATTTTTAACTGCTGTACAAAGGTTTGTGTGTATATATACTATATATATTTGTATACAACAAATATACACTAGTGTTCAAAGGTTTGGGGTCAGTAATATGTATATATATATGTATATATTTATATAAATGTGTGTGTATATATATATATATATATACACATTTATACTATATATATAGAGAGAGAGAGAGAGAGAGAATACTTTTATTCTGCAAGGAAGCAATAAATTGATCAAAATAAGCGCTGTTCTTTTGAACGTTCTATTTATCAGAGTACGAATCACAGCACAGCTATAACATTGATAATAATAAGAAATGTTCAAAAACAAATTCATCTTTTCCATCACAGGAATAAATGGTATTTTAAAATATATTACAATAGAAAAGAGTTGTTTTAATTTGCAATAGTATTTCACAATATTATAGTGGTTTATTGAATTTTTGATCAAAATAATGCAGCCTTGGCGAACATAAGACATTTACTGACACCAAACTTTTGTTTGTAGTTTATATTACAGATACTTAAAAGGATGCAGTATTTAAAGATATTGATATTTAATGACTGAGAAATCACAGAACTGATAATGAAGTACTTATGTGTGCCTGTATCTAATAATAAGCTTGAAAGAATTTTCAATTGAATATTTTGACAGTGATTCAGAATGACATGTTAGTGCTAATGAAGTCAAGACTCTTCCCAAAAATCACATCTGTTTGACCTCTGTAAAAAGTTGTACAGACAGGTGGGAAGAGGAGGGGATTTTGTGATGGGATTGAGAGCATGTTTCCTTGATCTTGCCCAGCTTATAAAGAACACGCTGGAGTGAAGGATCTTAGAAACATCTGTTTTTGTCTGTGTGGTGTGAAGTGCTTGCCAGATGGTGTTATAATGCTCGATATATGCTCCTTATGCCATGCTTCATCTCGTCCCACTTCAGCTTTTAAACTATATGTTAATTAAAGTCTTGACTGAAGGAATGCAAATAATATAAAGAATGCATAAATTAACTACTTGTTTTTCTATACAGGTTAGTTAGGTGGGAAAATAAGAGACACTGAGGCGGAATAATGCATGTTACATTTTAAAATGTATACAGAACAATGTATTGTCTTATTATTTTTGTGCCATGGGTTTGATTCCCAGGGACTGCATGAACAGATTCAAAATGTGTACTTCGAATGCAACGTAAGTCTGTTTGGATAAAAGTGTCTGCCAAATGCATAAATTTAAATGTATCATAATTAATGAAATGGTCTATTTATTAGGTATTATAAAAATATGACTGAATAAAAAATTATTACAATTTTTGTTATTAAAAAATTATTTGAAATTGTAGCCTGACAAAATATTTTTCGTCTTCTTTTCTAATCCTTCATTAACCATGTTGTTATTGTTCAGTTTTGACTAGCTAGTTGAGGACATTTAGTTTTTGTAAACAAGGCCACCAGAAGACCCTGAATTACAAAAAGATGTGTTCTGTCCATGATTTATTATGTCTCAGCCTGTTAAGATTTGACAATCAAAAATCATGTTACTATACACCCAGACCGTGTTTTCAGTACCTAAGCATTCAACTTTGTTACTGTAATTGTCAGAAGGTTCTTAAATTCTGAAATTATGTTCATAAACCTTATGTTGTTCAACCAGCATTAATAAATAATGTCCATCATTGGGAAACTATTGATTTTGGGGGATTTTAAACATTAAAGTCTGTAAATAATTGAAAGCAACCTGTGCTTTCTAAGAGTTTGTTTGTTAAAATAGGGATAAAATATTTATGAACAATAATAAATCACATATTTGTAACCATCTGGCCCTTGGTATTTTCTGACAACATAACTACAGTATTTTTTAAATGGTCATAGATTTCTACAAACCCCCTGTTCAGTGATAATGGTCTGTTTTAGTATGATGACTGCACCTGTGTTTGGCTTAGATGTAAATCATTTAATTTCACTGTTAAAGATTAGGCTACTCATAGTGTACATTTGTAAGCTTTTCTGTAATATTTTGCTCTTGATCAAAGGCTAAATGAAACTACCTTACTGCCCCTCCTTGGTTTTGTTAATGTAGATCTGCTTAGTTTAGAAATATTTAATATGTACTCTCAGAATATTATTGACAAAAAAAAAAACATGAACACTCTACTATGAATCATCATGTAAGTTTTATCTCGGGCCATTCATAAGCAACCTGCTGTACTGCGGGATTATTTTGTAAAAGCTTTTGATTTGGATGTATAGGTTATGTTTTTCAACTACAACAACTACAAACTGCATTAAAAAAGTTTGATATTGCGACGTCTCAACCTTCTAGTGGTATTGCTGGTCAGAGAGCTGTCTGGCTAAGGACACCAGCCCATCTCATTTTTAAAACCAGGCAGAACCAGAGATGAACTGGTTTGAAGCATTTGTCTCCGTTTGCAGTGAAGTGACCATTAATGTGATTTTCCTTTTTTTAAGCCTGTCAATCACGTCCCTACCAAACTACTGTCAGAGCTCTACTTCATCTCGTGTGCGTATTATTAGCAGTAGGTGGCAGCACTAGCACAGAAACGCTTTTTGAACTATAAAGTGTCAGTCTGTCACTGAAGCCGGCCGGTGGCTCTCTAGGCTCACTCAGAAAAAGTCTTCGACCTCAGGAGGTAATAAAAATTTATTATTTCCTATTACCAAACTTGATTTAGGTGTAGTGAAAAGTTAATATAAATAATAATAATAATAATAATAATAATTCATTACATTTATATAGCGCTTTTCTGGGCACTCAAAGACCTTTACATTGTCAAGGCGTATCTCCTCATCCACCACCAGTGTGCAGCATCCACCTGGATGATGCGACGGC